TCAATTCCTTTTTGCAGCTGCCGCACAAACTTTCAGCATTCGTAGAATTCGGAGCAATCCTTTTTATATATATTTTTTTTTTTTGTTTTTCTTTATTATTATTATTTTTTTTTTGTGGATTTTTTTGTTGTTTTTATTGGGCATCCGGGTTATTCGGCTGTGTTTAATGAGCCCGTTTTGGAAATGGTATTCTCGTGTTAAAACATTGATTCGATTGGCGCTCTTAAAAGGTGTCGCCGGCCCATAAAATAAAGCCAACCTTTGCGTTTGCCTTGCTTAAATTTTTTTTTATTTTTATTTTTTAGTATTCCTGCTGACTGGCCGAATCGGCCATAAAAGTTTCGCCCAAAAAATCAAAAGGCGCCGTATCCTTTTTTGTTAATTAACGCATACGTTTTTTTTTTGTTTCCCGAGCTTCGCTAAGCGCGCCACAAAATTTTCAGCTGCTGCCAAATTGTGCGATCAGCTTGTCAACTTTTATGGGGCTTATGCTTTAATTTTAATTGTAATGCCCGTTTAGCAGCAGCAGCAGCAGCAGCCCGACCCAAAATGGTTGCCCAATTCATTAACATACACACACGCAGTGACCCATATACAGGTGTCTGCGAGTGTGTCTGCGAGTGTGTGTGTCTGTCCGTTCAAAAGTTCTGGTCGTTTCCTCTTCGTTTTCATTTTTCACAGTCCCACGTTGAGCTCTTTCACACAGCTGTCCGTGTGAAAAGCATTTCAGCGATTTTCAGAATGCTCCAAATGTGCAACGACTGAGAATTTTCGGCAAACGTAATGCCCAAAAGGGCAGGCTAAGCGATGCCCTGTACTTGTACAAAGATATATTAGACATTTAAATAAGGGAAAATATAAATCAATATATGTTAAATAAAGCCTTGATTATCTAAAGCTTACATTTATAAAATGAAGCTATCAATTGTTGTGATCCTGTCGGGGTTGGCAACTCCTAACAAAAAGCAACAACAGATTACGATAAAACTTCATTGTGAGGTATACCTAACGCCTTTGTGCTGGGCATAATACCCACAAATCGCAGCGAATGAGTGTGTTTTTAATAAAGTTCTCATTCTCACATTATTCGTCACGCCGAACGGCCGCGTCTGCGCGCCCACATTCCGTTCCAGAGCGGGCAGTGTGCGTGTGTTTTTGATTCCCAGTCTCACTCTCATTAGCGGATGGCCAGCAATTTAACCCCCCCCCCCCTCCCCCCTAACATAACCTAACCTTGCCTGCCTTGGACGGCGACAGTTCACATGTCGGCGACGGGCTCACCCTGGCCGTTCCCAGGCGCGTTCCCAACAACTGCACAAGTTCTCGTGTGATTTTTCGTATCGCTGTGAAGCGACTGCAATTCGTGGGTCCTCGAATCTCACCCTTAATACGCGGCCGAAGCGTGGTCTGCACCTGAGCGTGCAACAGAACTAGGGGGTTGGTCTGTTGTTGGTGACGCGTGCCGCGTGTGGGAAACGCAATTTGTTATTGTTTATCGCTGGATGTTTACTGTGGCTTGTTTACACAGATTGCAGACAACTTGAGCAGCAAAAAGCTGCACTGCGGCCCAGCTGGCTAGCTGTGAGCTAGCTGCCAATACAAATTGGAAATTTCTCATTAAGTTTGCAATCAATTCTACAACCTGGTAGCATCGCCATTGACCCCTGCACAAGCGGCCGTTTAGAGTGCAGAAAATGTAGACCCACCAATTGCAGTGTGCGGCCAGTTTTATGGCTGCTGATGGGCGCCTTATGAGCGGTTGCGCAGTCGTGCCAGAAGGGTTCTACGGACCGGCCATCAAATTGCCCATCATCATCGGCTGCAGTTGAAATGAGTTTGTTGCCTAAGTCTTTCGCTTTTTGGACACTGCATTGCATTCCAAATCGAGCATAAAACGAATTTATTTTTATATACGTAATACGTAAACTTGAGCAAACAACATCATCATTAGTGCAACAGCAGCAACAACACAAACTCCAACAGCAACAAGTTGCGATAAAAGATTTTTGTTTCTTGATTTCGTTGCACCAAAAAAGGCAACGGCAACTCCCATTAAACGTCCCAAAAAGGCAAAAGTTGCTGTCGTTGTTGTTGTTGTTGTTATTGTTGTTATTGTTGCATTGTTATTGTTGCTGTTGATGCTGCTGTTGTTGTTGTTTTCTTTGTTAACTGGCGCCCACCACGTTGAGAGCGAGGCGGCGGCCACCGGCGCAGTCGCTTGTATGCATTTCATTTTGTGGCGCCACGCCCAGGCAACAACTGCCACATGCAACGCCCACCAGCCAGCCCAGCCAGCCAGCCAGCCAGCCAGCCAGCCCAGCCAGCTCCAACAGTCTCTGTGCCATATTCCCAGATTTGTTTAGGCCATTTTGATACGCAGCCCAAGTGCAACCAGCAGCGTCATTAAAGCAGCTGCATTTAATTTCAATGCCCATTTAAGGCTGAAAACTTTGCCATGTGTTGTTGCTGTTGTTATTTCTGTTGCTGTTGTTGTTCTTGTTCTTGTTGTTGTTGTCAAGGGCTCACTTTTCCCCCAAGCACAGAGTCAGCCCCAACCTCAGCCTGGCAGCTGCGCAGCTCAACGCATTTTTTACAACATTTTTGCCGCGACTAGTTGCCGTGCCAGCCCAGTCCTAGCCCTAGTCCTAGTCCCAGTCCCAGCGAAACACGTGCAACTGGAGAGAAGCTTCGCCCTGTTTTGGCCCCTTGTTCGCCTGCTGTAGTTGTAGCTGTTGTTGTATCAATTAAAGCTGCGCTTGATTTTCACATGCGTAGGACGACAGGTGCAAAATGCTACAACGGCTTAGACCCAGCCCCAGTCCCAGTCCTCAGTCCTGCACTAAGACAGCTCTTTCAGCTACAGCTACAGCACCCAGTCACAGTGATTTGAATTTTTCCATGCGGTTGGGCCAGCAAAATTACACGTTAAATGGCAAAGCAGGCGGCATTAAGACAGGCACAGGTGCAGTGGCAACAGCTGCTCAAATCATTTGCAAACGCGTTAAGTGCATCACCGGATGGGCGGCAGCCCGCTTGAGGAACGGGTGGCCAACACAGCTGCTGCTGCTGCTGCTTCTACAGCACACACACACACACACATGAACATATCGCTAATTAAGATTTTTCATTTCGCTTTTTATTAGAGGCCAGGATTTCACAGAAGTTAACGTACAACCTGAAAACTGTGACATCTGCAACAAATTTGATGACAGCTTAATAAGTTCTTTGGTTTAGAAAAATTTCTTGCTGCATTTATAGTCGAAAAGCATTAAGATCATGGACAAGCTTTACATTAAGACTTTTCCTCTTTTATAAAATATTAACAAATAGTTTCAGTTATGCACAATACACAACTGCAGTCAGAGTATGTTTACAAATAGTTATCCACAGTAGTGCGCGATTCGCCGCGATTAACACGTAAATTTCCCATGCAGCCCTCGAATAGGATATCTGCGATGGCTTTTCGTGCCAGAATACGCTGTGTCGGTGCCATCTCCTCATACTGTATGGCCCAAGATTTGGCTAGTGTTTCGGAGGCATCGCTTAAAGGTACATTTGACTGCTGGGACGCGGAGCTCTTCATTACAGTCAATGTGGTTGATGTAGAGCTGGCTGGCTCATTAAATTCTGAAGCGCTGGTATCGGCATTGTCAGCCTTGATGGTATCATTTGGCACTATTCCTTCGGTATCCTTTGCATCCAGCTCATTTTCAAATATTTCGATCTTCGGGCTGAGCAGTAAGCTCTCGGTAAACTCTGCTGCTGTCGTATCAGAGCTGTTTGTTAATTTTGGTAAAGCTGTTATTGTCGCGCCTGTGTCCAATGGATCCATCATAGCCTTCATAAGACGACTGATCAGTAGGGTAACACACATATAAATCGTAATGCAAACTTACATCGAATCTAAAGTCTGAAATTGACTTTCCTTTAGCGCCGGACTTACAGCGCGTCTTCCTGGCTCTACGCTGGAAGGACTCTTGGGTGAGCAGAAAACTCATATTATCGTAGAACCATAATACGGGCTTGCACAATTCAGAATGCAGTCCCAAATCTTGCTGTCTCCAAATGCGCATCTGTTCCCGTCTATAGTTTGTACGAAAAATGTTGATGCGACGTCCAACATCTGTCTTCGATGCATTTGGCTGAATCACTTTCAACTTATTATGTAAAATATCGTATGATTGGTTCCTTAATTCTTTGTTTCTATAATCCGGATGGCGCACATCCCAAAGTTCCGGCATTTCCTCATAGAGTTTCAAAAACTCGCGCCAAAACTGTCGCTTATTAGCAATAAAACGATCTAGCAACCCTGACATTGCGTGCAGCCAACTTCACGTTATGTGGTATAACAGAGCTCTGTTATTTAACAGAGATTCAAGTTTTGCGCAAACTATAAAAAGTTTATATTATTAAAATGATAAAACAAATAGCGCATGCATACTTTGTTTTGAATATTCCTTATTTACTTACTCCTTAATGTTTTATATACGTATTTTATGCATTTAAGCATATATACATGCTTGGACGACCTACTCGTGGCAACGCCAATCACAGACTGACGACGACGGTGGATGTGTGTCTCTGTGAGCGTTGCTTGCTGTCGATTGATTGATTGATTAGTTTCGTGTCTGTGTGTCAAAATGTATGTGTGCGTTACTTTGCTTTCGCGTTTGTTTTCGTGTGTATGTATTTTCGTTTGCGTGTACGTAAAGTCTCCATCAATCAACAGACGTTCGTAAATATGCATTAGTGTGTATATATACATTGACGCGTACATATGTATGAGGTTACATATGTGATATACATATATAATGCACGAATATAAATATATCAAATAATAAACAAAATTATATTTTATATGGAAAGATTGGTTTTTTGAATATTTAGCAAATTCACTTGTCATAACCAATAACACCCTGTGCCGTAAGGCCCAGTCGCCAGTTAATACACACATATATATATATATATATGTACGTAGGTAAGTATGAAGAATGCCAGGCAAGAATGTGTTGGTGAGCAGCAGTTACATGCGGCGCGGAGAGCAGCAGCCCGCCCAGGTTAAGTCTGCAGCTAAGGGCAGACATGCGCACTATGAAATAAACAAAAGGTTGATTTGAATGGCATTTAATGCCGGCTATGAATTAACACGCACTAACTTGGCACATCAAACAAACACAATTGCACTTATGTAGGTACATCAGGCTAAGCCAGTTGTATATCTTACTGTAATCTGAGCATGCATGAGTAATGTACAATGTTTATTTTTGAAAATTAATGTACTTATTAAAATCCATATGCATATATACACATTGTATATGTATGTACATATATATTTAATCACTGTGCAAATTGAATTACTGCTAATTAACATTTTTATTTTGGCAAATTATTTACCATGTCACCCTGTGTGCGGCAGTTGCGTGCATTGCCACCCACCGCACAGTCATACACACGCACACAACTTGTGCGCCTGTGTTGGTGAGCACACAACGGCGCAGTGAGCGAACGCCAGAGAGTGGCAACCTCATCGTCGACGACAACAGCGGCGGCCACCAACTAAGGGCAGACATGCGCACTAAGAGACAGCACATATATTTGGACTTATTTTAATGTGGCCCAGGCACACGCATATTTGCATGAGGAGCTGGCACACCGACAACACAATACACATGAGCTGGGAGAAGTGTGTGTTTTAGTGCTACATTTGGTTTGTTGTATTTGGTAAAAGTACAATTTATAAATATACAAGTATTCTATGATTGCATCCAATTGCATCTTCGAGATGTGCTACAAGCTAGACATGCTATCCGTACACTTATACTATTCCAGCTCCCGCATGACTTCGTCGGCGCGCGTTATTAATTCAATCAGTCGAGAGTTTTTCTGGGACATGGCAAACTCCTCCAGTAGCTTCAGGTACTTGCGCGCCTCGGCGCTGCCGATTATCGATTGGCCGCTGCCCGCATTGTTGTTGTCATCGGGCTGCCGCTGACGTTTTGGCGGCGGCGTCTGTGCTGGCGCCTTGGTTAGTGTGGGCATGGGCGGCAATGTGATCATGGGTATGGCCAGATCTTGGGCTGGACTGCGTTTTCGCTGGCGCAGGGCGCGTGTCTGCTCAATGTACTGCTTCTCATCGTCCACATTGGCGGCCAGAATTTCGGCCAACGAGGTAACGCTGGAACGGCCACCATTTTCGTCGTCATCATCCTCCAGGTATTCGCCATCGCTGTCCAGTTCCTCCTTGATGCGCACTGCTGCCTGCTCATCGGCCATCTTTTCCTTGGCGCTTTCCTCCGCCTTTTGCTGCTCTTCCTGTTGCAGCGGTTCCTGCTGCAGCTCTTCCGGGTCTTTGGGCTCCGTTTTGATCTCCTGCTTAATATCCAAAATAGGCGGTGGCATAACCTTCGCCTGCACTGCCGGTCGCTGTGTTATGCTCTGCGCCAGCGTGGCCAGCGGTATGATGGTCATAGTCTGTGCACCGCCAGCCGTTGCACCAGGTGGCAGAATAGGCGTTGCCAGCAGCACCTTTTGTGAGGTGCCCGGCGGCACCTGTGGCAACCGCACCAATTGAGGCAGGGGCTGCAGAACGCGCGCATTGAGCTCACTGAGCGAGGGCTTAACATCTAGATGCTGATCCACCTCGGGATCGCTGACGTCGCCGCGACCATCAATATCAACATCAGCATCATCTTCGTCCACATGACTGCTGCCGCTGATGGTGGCCAAACTGATGTCCTCCTCCTCGTCATCATCCACGGGGTCAGCTGCCGCTGCAGCTGCTGCTGGCGTGCACTGGGACATGACATCCTTGGCAATATCATTGATCTGCACCGAATAGCTTTGCGTGTAGCCAAACTTCAGCAGCTTCGTATCGTTGTGCTGAATATTGTAGGTGGTGCGAAACTTGTCGCACCACTCCTGATGCGGAAAAAAGTTGGTCAATCCCATCGAGCTCTTGAACTGTAGCGCCATTTTCTGTATCAGTCCATCCGATATGATGAAGTCCTTGTAGTACATCATGCGCCGTATCCAGTCGTATACAGCTTTGCCCAGCATGGACACTCGCACTACCTTCAGCTCCTGCGTCTTGGCATCCTGGCTGCGCCTCGTGCGCTGCTCCCAGGCGCGCAATATCTCGTCCTTTTGCTGTACAATGCGCTTTATCTGATCCGGACTGCAGTTGAACAGGCGGCCCACGTGCTTGTACACCGGCTGGCGATCGTATTCACGCAGAGCTGCCACCTTTTCGTTTAGGGCCAACACATTTTTGCGCTTAATGCGATTGTCAAACGCAACCTTCTCAGTTGCAGGTAATGTGGGCGGCTGCTGCGTTGTTGTTGTTGTTGTTGTGGCCGTTGTGTTTGTTGTTGTAGCTGTTGCTGCTGTTGTTGATTTGCTAGATGTTTCGGGCTTTGGCTCGGCATCGGCTGGCTGCAATGGTGAAATCATGAACCGTGCTGGGTGCACAAGTATAAAAACATTGTTTACCTTTTGTTTATCGCTGCTTTTTGGAGCCTTTTGCTCCTTTTGCTGCTTACGTTTGTCGCGCACACGCATTGCTATATTTACAGTTTTTTTATTCCTTGTAAATTTATTAAAATTACGCCTTAAGCATAACAGAGAAATGTTATTGCTCGTTGTTCTTTGTATTGTTGTTTGCTTGTTGCGCTAACTCACCCTGTGCCCTGCGCCCTGTTCCCCTAGCTCTCTCTCTTACACACGACCCTGTTATGGGCACACATACATATAGCACCTGCGCGTGAGTGTGTGTGTGCGTGAGTGTATACGTGTGCGATGGCTACGATTATGCGCATTGACAGCAACTAAACGTCGCCCGTTCTTGATTTTTGTTTTTCTTTCTTTTGTCTCTCTTTTTGCGCTTTTAGTGCACTTTTTGCTACATTTTTTTGCAATTCACTTTAAATATTTTGTTATTGCTATTACAATGCGCAGCACACGCATACGCACACGTGTGCGATTGCTTTCAATTTTTCCGACTAGAACAGCGTATATATAAAAATAGCTGCCCACCCGCTGCCAGCGGCTGCCGTTTTCATTCTGGTTTTCTGTGTTTCTGTGAGCGCGAATGCGCATTGAGAGCACTTTTCTGCGCCGGCGGAGAGCTTCGTGATAAGCCCAAGCAGCGCGCAACTTTAACTTGTGTGTGTATGTGTGAGTGCGAGAACATCAGATAATGGCAACACACACCACACAGGCACACATTTGTAAGGCCGTTTCACGGAGAGAGGGTTGTAATTTTCACTTCACTGCCAATTGCTCTCTTCTTCAACTGCGCATGCGAGAACTTTATAGATGGCAGCACGAACCTGAGATACATTCGACTCAACTTGATTGGGTTAAAAATTTGATCGCAACGCGGCGCATTTTCGCAACAAATATTTTAAGATATGCGCATATTTATCTATTTATGCAAATGCACACTATATGCATAAATATTCTATTGTTTTCAGATATAATTCTTATTAATTGATTGCCTAGTTTTATATTAATCCTTGTTTTATTTGTGCTACATATTTGGTTAATTTTCCTCCTGGCCAAAGTTTGTATAGTGCTGCAGAATATATGACATGGCTGCGGGATTGTCAGCAGGCACCATATGACCGGCCCGGTTCACCCAGAACATACTGAAATTTCCGGCTGTCTTCTCGTAGCCCTCCAGTACGCGATCCACATTGATGCCCACGCGTGGATTCGTCAAATAGCTATTCTTGTCGTTCCACTCCATGTTGGCAATCCAATTGACGGCACCGGGTGTGGCGCATATCAAGTCCAAGCCACCCGAAAAGACTCCCACTTTGACCGTAGAGTTGTTCAGCAGCTCCTCAACTAAACGTAAACAATTGGAAATGAATCCCACATAGTACATTTAAAAATCCGTACCAATATGTACAGCTGGCTTCATAAAGTCGCCCATCAGCTTGCTGAAGGTCGTGCTACTCTGGCCGCCCCACTTAATGCCCGTGGTAATGTTGAGAGCTGTTGTTACGGGTCCACGCATGAGATCCTCGAGCAGTTGATCGCGATCCTCATCAATGTCGAAGTGCACCAGGGTACGGTACATGCGCTCTAGAATGGTATCTTAAGGAACTAGCACTCAGAGTGGCCAATCGAAACTCACCTTCCGAACTCATGCTGCCCAGCTGCCTCAAGTACTGATCCCCGCGAGTGGGTTTCTCTACATTGTAGAAATCGACGCCCTTTGATTCGCGCAGCACCACCGACTGCGTGGAGCTCCATTGCAATGTGGCCTGTGTCCATCTCTCGTCGTCGACATTCTTTTTGGTCTTCAATGCTGAAGCTTCGATCTTGTCGTGACCGTCCTGGTCAACAATGCCGAGCTGCAGCAAGAACGGCGCCCACGAGAGTACTGAGTCAATGGGCGATGTCCAGGGATCACCCAAGGCCACCGACTGCAGGTTGCTCTCGATCTCGCCGCGCTGTATGGCGTAGTACAGTTCCAGGGCAAACTCGGGCGCCATTTTGCCACCGTAGCTTTCACAGAAAATGTGCAAAGGCACCTTTTTGAATTCCGGATGCAGTGCATAGAAGCCCTTCATGAACTCCACCAGATCCAGTGCGATCTGTTTGTTGGTTGTGGTGTAATAGGAGGAGCCATCCACATAGCTAAAGCCACTGCCGACGGGATTGTCAATAAATATGACATTCATGTCCTTGACCCAGGTCCACTCGCGGTAGCTGCCATCCAGTTGCAAGGGTCCCAGTTCCTCAAAGTTGCCATAGCCGGTCGACGAGGCACCCGGTCCACCTTGCAGCCAAATGGCCAAGGGGCGATCCACGTAGCTCGTGACATTGGCGGTGGTGTAGTAGAGCCAGTAGAAAATGTGGGCGCCCGTGCGCACATCCACAAAGCCCCAGTCCTGCTCGCCAGGACCATAGCCTGCGCGGGCTGTGCGAAGATAAATATATAATAACTATTGATCAGGCTGATTTGGGGATTGTGAATTCTGCTAACTTAGGAAATTGAAAAAGATCTATTTGAGTATTCCCTATATGTATTGATAGCAGCAGGTTTGATAAGATAACTATCTCAGCACAACAACAAATTTAAAGATGTTCACTTGGAAATCAGCTCGACTAACGCGTTTGTATTTAGTCGTTTTTATTGTGCCACTAAATTTCTATCATTAGCACCTGAATGGCATTTAAATTGGGTCCAAACACAGTTGGTTGTCTGCCAAATTGAGGTCAGTCTGTTACAGTTCCACTTACCGCTCACCGCACCGAAGCCGCAGACCCCTAAGAGCACGACAAAGCTGATTAAGAGACGACACATTTTGCACTAGTTCGGAGCGAAGGCACCTCTAACCAAGTTGACCGTACACCTGGGAGTGCGACGACCGTCTGATCGCTGGTCGAATTCAACCACAGCAAAGTAAGCGAGTGGCGCACATGGAATTTCTAATCTTGGAGTGGGAGCGGCGCCTGTCATGATCGCTGTGATCCCAGTGATCGCCATTGTCAACCGTTCTTTACGACGGTGATGGGTTTTACGCGTGATACGTTTGGACATTTATTTATGGGATTTTGTTGTCATTTTTTTTTGCCAATACTTACCTCGTCACTTTCATAAATTTTAGCTAGTTCTTAATTAATAGTCGCGATTGCGGTCGCTTATCGCAGCCTTGTTTCAATAAGTTTGCTGCTCGTTTTGATTTCTGAAGAGCTTGTCAAATTTCAATTAACTTTAACGAGTGTGAGCTCTGCATTTTATTGGATGCATTCTACAAATGTAAGTTTATCCAAAGCCTGTAAACTCGCGCAAGACATGACTCATGGCGGCGGGATTGTCGGCTGGCGCCATGTGCCCGGATCTGTTTATCCAGAACATGGTAAAGTTTCCGCCCGATTTCTCGTAACCTTCCAAAACGCGATCCACGCTGATCGCAATACGAGGCGCGGCCAAGTACTCCTCCCTTCTGCTCCAGTTCATCTTGTCTATCCAGTTAACGGTGCCGGGAGTGGCACAGATCAGATCCAGTCCGCCCGAGAAGACGCCCACTTTCAGTGGCGTTTTGTCCAGAAGTTCATCGACTGCATTATTCAAGGATTAACTATTTGCTTTCTGGGTCAGTTCCAAGCTAACATTTACCAATGTGTATTACGGGCTTCATAAAATCAGTTCTATGAATGTCAAAGGTGCTGCCGCTCTGCGATCCCCATTTGACTTCGGATGGTATGCCCAAGGTTTCGGCTACGGGTCCGCGCATAAGTGTCTCCAGTAACTCATCACGATCTTCATCGATGTCGTACTTCACCACAGTGCGGTACATGCGCTCTGTAATACATTTATCTATAGACTCGCACTGGAGATTGAAGCACTTTTCAAATTTACCCTCGGGCGTCCGCATCAGCTGCCTTTGATAGCGATCACCGCGCGTTTGCTTCAGCACATTATAGAAATCTACGCCCTTTGAGGCCTTCAATACCTCCCACTGAGTGTTGCCCCACTGAGCTGTGGATTGTATCCAACGCTCTTCTGCCACCAGTTCGGCTGTGAAGTTGGCAGCCTTCGCTATGGCATCGTAGCCATCATGGTCAACGATGCCCATCTGCAGCAGAATCGGTCCCCAAGCGAGAACCGAGTCGATGGGCGATGTCCAGGGATCACCCAGAGCCACCGACACCAAATTGCTCCTAATCTCACCTCTTTCCTTGGCATAGTACAGTTCCAGGGCAAACTCGGGTGCCATTTTTCCGCCGTAGCTTTCGCAGAAAATATGCAGAGGCACAGACTCAAATTCCGGATATAGAGCATAGAATCCCTTCATTAACTCAACCAGATCCAGGGCAATTTCCTTGTTTGTAGCCGTATAATAGGCCGTATCGTCCACATAGCTAAAGCCGCTGCCTACAGGATTATCAATAAAAAGCACATTCATGTCCTTCACCCAAGTCCAGTTGCGATAATCGCCGTAAAGATCAACGGGTCCAAGCTCCTCAAAGTTTCCATAGCCTGTGGAAGAGGCGCCAGGTCCACCTTGCAACCAGATTGCCAAAGGACGTTCCGTGTAGCTGGCTACATTGGCGGTGGTATAGTAGAGCCAGTAGAACATGTGAGCGCCTGGCCGTACATCGACATAGCCCCAATCCTGTTCGCCGGGTCCGTAACCCGCCTTGCCTGTATAATCGTGTGTATAGATCAGACCAGGATTTGTAATCTACGGACTGCTATTTCAACTTGCCATGTGCCAAGGTTGCGTAACACACCAGAAGTAATGCGATCGTACGAATTGTAGCAGACATCTTCCGTTGAAGCCAGCAGCTAACTGTGCTTTGGCTTTGGCCACCTTGATCAGCTCCATTTTAACGGAATACCTTATCAGATGTCAAAGGCGCGAGATTGATAAGTGGTTATTTAGCAGCGTACACTTAATCGTGAAATCGTTATCGATTTATTGGCACCAGGTGCACAACTAAATGGCAACATTTTACCAAGAGCTTCTACAGCTCATGTGATACTTCTAAATTAACTGTTGGGCTTCTTTTTTTAAATTTTTTAACCGTTATTATGAGTTTTTCATTTTTCAATTAACTAGCGTTAAATTTACGAGATTCCGTACTGCACTTCATTTGACATTATTCATGTCCTTTACCCAAGTCCAGTTGCGATAATCGCCATATAAATCAACCGGTCCTGTAGACCCTTTCCTTGCACCACATTTTCATTAATGTATAACGTCAACAATCCGTCGTCTTCTGTAAGGCCAACATCCAATTGTGCTTTGCCTGCTGGATCTATTGTAAGCTCCGTTTAAATGAAAAACCTAATCAGCAGCAAATGCGTTAAAAAGCGGTTAATTGGCAGTGCACTAGTTAATCGAGTTATCGTAATTGTTATCGAATTCGTAATTACCGGCGAAGAACTTAGTGGCAACACCATTCCAACAGCTGTTTGGGTTGTGTGTTGTTATATTTCTTTGTGTCTAGCAGGTGTGGGTGGTAATTAATTTAATTATATTACTTAACAAATCAAAACTGTGCTAGAGCGTCATGGCAACGGTTCGCATACCCAAGCAAAAGGTCATACTTTGCGGTGACTATGGTGTGGGCAAGAGCTCCTTGTTCCGACGCTTCACAAACAACACATTTGTCACCGAAACAGACCGCAAATCGACGCTGGGCCTGGATCATATTGACCGCGAGTACAATGTAGGCGAGAAACAAATTAAGGTGAGTCTACTTGTGCTGTGGTTGCAGATTAATACAGATGTGAATAATCAATTTCTTGGGCAGCTGCAACTGTGGGACACTGGCGGCATGGAACGTGTGGCATCTGTGACTTCGTCCTACTACAAATTTGCAGAGGGTGCTATTCTGGTATTTGCCTTGGACAATGCCGCATCATTTCATTCGCTGTCGCAGCACCTGCTGGACATTGTAACGTATGCAGAGAATGCTAAAATCTTTATATGCGGCAATAAGAGCGACCTCGAAGGCCGTGAGCCGGAAGTTAGCGATGAGGAAGTCGAAGCATTTTGTGAGCAGTGCCATACGCTGATAAGCGCTACCTACAAGACATCCTGTCGCACGGGCAAGGGCATCGAGGAAATGTTTCAGGACATCTCACGTCAGTTGGTGCAGGCCAATCGATCCAAAATGGAGCTACAGGCACTCGAACAGCAGAGTTTTCAAATAGACAAGACCAACGAGGCAGAGATTAACGAGGAGCCCTCCTCATGCAGCTGCTAGCAGTTGGGAAACATTGAGTTTGGCTAATTCGTTGGCGCTCTCAGCTGAACTCAATGGAACGCAGCAATGCATTTGTCTAATTTCCCTAATTTATTGATACAAACACTTGTATAACTTATGAATTTTCGATTATTTTATTATTTGTAAATATTCACTTCGAATTTAATGCTAAAACGTCCGAATATGTTATAGTTAATTTGATATAGTTAATATGTATGCGCCCAGTCGCGAAAACCAACGAACAACGTTTTATTTAAATACATTAACACTCATATGTATGAATAGGACATAAGTCATAGTTAATTAAGCTTTGTAGATGTGTAGGGCTTGTGCTAGCCGTTAGAGTTTAGCGTTTCTTCAATATACATATAAATTAACTCGCGATTGAAATTAATGAAACTAATAATAAATAAACAAACAATTATCTCAACAAGGAATGCGCCATATTCTTTTATAATCCACAATCGTACCAGTGAGCTCCTCAAGCCCGCAACTATGACGTGGCCGCGGAGGAGCTGGGGGCAAATGTTAAATAGAGGCTCACGCCGACAGCAACCACAAAGCAAACGCCCACGCCGTACAGCACGACCTTTTCGCGCAATGCGCGCAGCATCATTGTGTTGAGGGTGCGGGAGGCGCGTCCTATGTCGGCATTCGTTTCCCTTAGACGAGCGCGTGCGCCTTGCAGCGTTTCGCGCTGATGATGCAAATCTGTGCGGAAAGTTTGTCAAGATTACGACGCCTTAAGCAAAATTGATTCCCAGTTTGATTACCGTTCAACACCTGGGCGCCGAGTGCTTCCGTTTCCACAGCTACGCGATAGCCTTCCGTCAAGCGATTGCCGGTGCGTTCGATGCGCTCGGAATTGTCCAGCAATCGTTGCCTTTGATCATTGCTAATGCCTACATCCTCGTAGTAGCTCCCACTGTCAGCTAGATCGAGCGTTGTAAAGCCATTTGCCTGTGCCCGCAACTTGTCCTTTGTTTGTTTGTACTCCACTTGCAGGCGCTTCAGTTCCGCCTGTGCCACTTGCAGCTTGCCGTTGAAGCTGCTTCGCTGCGCTGGATTTAACTCTCGCACCTCCAGGCCCATCTGTTCGAGCAGCTCCTGTGCCTCCGACAAGCTGGCATCGATTTTGCTGCACAGTTCGCTGCGTTCGGCTGCGAGTCGGTCGGTGGCTTATCAAATTGCTCGAAAAAATATGTTTATGGCCTGTACTCACATGCATTTTGCTGTAGGCGACCAATATGTGCAGTTATTTCAGCGATTAGTGCTGCGTACTGCTGCTCATATTGCTCAAGGAGTGACATCTGTTACTTATTGCAAATACAATTAGTTTTTTGTTGATTTGCAAAAATCTGCTTATTTATTTAGCTTCCTTCTGTTTTGTTTATCATTTCACTCAGCAAATGCCATTCGCAGCGAACACACGCCAGTGTTGTAAAATGTACGCTCGGCGTTGCCAGACTTGCGCGTCCCCACTTACCGTTGTTTCGAATTCAAAGTGGTAGTGAAAATACGTTTTCCCTTAAATAAATTAATGTTTTATTGTAATCTCATCGGATACCGCTTGTTTGCAAACGAATGGCGACAGATTCTGTCTGCCGAAATATGTATTACTTAATCCAAATTGTGGTAAGACAAATTAATAATACTATTTCAATTAATTAGCTAATTTATGTATATGTACACTGTTCATCACATTTCTGTTTTGTGTTTTGTCAAATTGAGCTGAGCTTAACCCTCTATAAGCGTGGCCTTATCGCCCTTGCGCAGCACCAGCTCCAGCTGCGAGAGCAGCCCAATGGCACGGAAATTCTCCTTAAAGAGAACGAATTCCTCCAGTGGCTTTAAATACTCCAGCGCTTGCGTGTAGCTATCGAGTTCCTTGAGTACATTGGCCAGGGCGCTCGAATCCGGCGGTTCCGGCGTGGTGTGTCCATTTGTTTGGCTGCCGGAGCTGCTGGCGCTGCCGCCCTTCTTCTTTGGCGAGGCTGGTGCGGATGGTGCTGCTGCTGTTGCGGGCGGGCTGCTGCCTTTGACGGATCGTACGGGTGTGGACTTGCCACTGTTGCAGTCGGTCGTCGTTTTGGGCGCATTCTCTTTGCTGCTGGCGCTGTCGCGTCCGCTGTTGTTGTTCTGCTCCTTGGGACTGGGACTGCGCTGGTGCTGATCCAGCTGCGTGGCCGCCGTGGATTCGGCCAGTGGCAATGGGGAGCCACGTGCGGCCGCTGAGGCATTTATCTCTTGTACTTCGTCATCGGCCGGTGACTCCAGCTTCGGTCGCTTGGCCAGCTGCACAGGCTGGAAGGGACTGACGCGCTGCTGGGACTGGTTTGGGGGTAGTTGTGGCTGGAACGGTTCTCGCTGTGGCTGCGGTGGCGTCAGCGCTGCGCCTGGTGTTGGTACCGGTACCACATGCGGCGGTGGGAACTGGGCTTGCAGTTGTTGTTGCTGGTGCTGCTGCATCTGCTGCTGCAGCTGTTGCTGATGGCGCTCAAAATAGTAGTCATTAAAGCTAAAGCCAGGATGCGGATGTGGGTGACCATGAGGGTGGCCGGGAAAAGGCGGCCAGGCTTGATTTAACTGATGCTGTTGCTGCTGTTGTTGTTGTTGCTGCTGCAGGTGCTGTTGCTGAAGCGCATAATGCTGCTGCTGCTGCTGCTCCTGATAGCTCTGATCTTTAATGTCCATACTGTCGTCGTCCTCCTCGTATTCGCCATACTGTTGCATGTAGTTCATGTATTGCTCCGGCATTTCCTCTAGCTTGGCCACACGCTCCGCGCTGGCCGGCGGAAACAAATGCTGCAAATCCTGTACAATATCCGGTATCCACAGAGATGTGCCCATAGGCTTCAGCTGATTGGTGGCCAGCTTCTGTGCGAAGCCCTGCAAATGTGTCTCGCGAAAGCGATTCAGCCAGCGATTGTCCGCTATGAAGGATGTGCTGCCGATTACCTGGCGCGCATTTTCCGCCTTATCCTTGATCATGCCGTGGGTGATGCTGCCGCGCAGCTGAGGATTGATATTGGCGCGCACCAGCCACTCGTAGACGACGGCATTGATATAGGCGCACTTGCGGCTGCGCTCGATCTCCTCCACCATGGCCTGCTGCTCCACGGCCTCCAGATTGGAGGGCACCTCCAGCCGTAGCGTGGGCAGAGCATTCGACTGCAGCCGTCGTCCGCCCAGCACACTGGGATCAAAGTGCAGGGCGCACACGACCGGCTTCTTGAATGGTATAATGCGTCGCAACGAAGCGTGGCAAGCCTCCTTCCAGACCTTGTGAAAGGGATTGTCCGGCCTGGGAAAGGCGAAGAACTGCATGCTCGGATGCTGCCTCGAATTCGACAAGCATCCGATGATGCAGCACCGCCGGATAGTCGGCATAACGGGTATACTGCTTACGCCCCGAATTGTTATAGAAGTCGTTTTGGCGTTGCAAATGCCCGCCAATACCAATCAGAACATAAAAATATTAAAGAACAGCTGCAAATAGAAGATAAATCGAAGATGTTAATTCTCGATATTCCAATTAACTCGCTCCATTCTCCTTTCATGCACATACACTCCAAACGCCAAACTCCTGCGACACAAATTGTGATCTATTCTTCTTCTATCTTCCTTCTTGCTCTTTCGTAGACTATTTCGTTGCCCTTGCTTTGAATTTCGCCGCGTTTCTATGCACACGATCTGGCAACACTTTAAGTTAAAGACGCGCTCAATTTTCACGTTGCTAATTTTAACAATTTCGTGCGTAATCGTAAACAATTTAATCATAAAAATTGCACACTCCGATCTATACCTTTTAAAGGCAAGTTTATCTACTGCAAGGCAGCCTTATACATATACAGCATCCTTGCATGTAAGTATTTATATTTGCACTATGAAACTAAATATATATGTAAATGTTAAGCAGCTTCGACTTGCAAAAAGTGCAATCAACTTAAAGCTTAGGAATTTCCAAGCATCCCTTCAGAAAGTTAAAAACTTTTGAAATAAAGTTGTTCAATAAAAGTTTTTGTGCTTAATCAACATCAAAAACTAAGAAACTTTTGTTTGGACCAAACTCCCTTTAGCCATACCCTGGGGAGACGCGTTGCCAACCAAAAAAAAAACTCCGTTATTTGGCGGCAAAATAATATTAGCGAATCCAAAAACAATAATGATTGTATCTCTTTATAAAGTCGGGGAATCAAAATACAGTTTCTGTATGACTCAACTTTGTTCTCACAGGAAATCAAAAACACCCACAAAATTATATTGAAATCTATGAGCAAGCGCTTAGACAACCAGATTTTGCAGGGTCCGACACATGACGCATATATTGAACGAGTATTTATATATATATAGCTATAGGTTCTACAATGCATACATCTGTATTTATAATTTGACCTCGGGGTTTGGAAAAATACCATCTGCACGCACACACAGCCGCACAAAAGATACACACGCACACATGCGTGTCTGTGTGTTTGTGTTTGTGTGGAAATGCGTGTGATAGGTACTTCAGAAAGTTTGAATATATAAGAGCAATACGAGAGCGTCATGCCTGCTATAAGACAGAGATACGAGCGCACCATTAAAAACATCTCACACACACACATACATACACACTTACAAATACAGATGCAGGCATAAAACTGTTGATAAATTTGAAGCGTTGCTCAGCCAACGATGCGTACGCCTTCAGAAATCGATACGTTTTCCAGTCCCAGTCGCAGCCCCCAAAACCAGAACCAGTCGGACGTCGAACGCTCCATTATGGGAGCACCCAAGCGCCCATACCCATATCGGAGAGCTCACACACACAGACACAAAACACACACAATGATATAGCTACAGATATAAATACGAAGATAGCTGCTGCTGCTGCTTCTGCTGCTGTCGCCGCTAGCAACAGCAGCACTTGACTAAAGTGAACGACTTGGCCGGGCCTCCGCCTCCTCCAAGATTGTGGATAATACTCAGCTGAGTCAGATACATACATAGCCGTGATGCCCCCGAATAACAACCCACCTGCCTGAGTCAGAGAGCCGGTCTTTTGGATGACTTAATACATAAAGCAATGTCCGTTTTCTCTTGAAAAATCGGTCGCAAGATTTGCTATTCGAATCGAATCGAATCGACTCGAGTTGAGTTTCCGTTTCTGTTTCGGGTTTGCTCCCTCCCCCCTTAACACACAGAGCAGGTCATTAGCTGCTGCTGTTGTTGGGATGGATTTACGGAATTGGGTTTTATCTTTCAGTTTGCTGCGTCAGCTAGCTTAGGGGTGGTTCACTGTCGCAGCTGTTCAGTTCGCTTTGGCGTAAACTTTTTGTGTGCCGGAAACTTAGTTGGCAGCAAAGTTTCATAGCCCAAAACCCTTCCACAACGCATCTTCAAGATATTCGCAGCCCGCGCGCACCTTGACACAAAACGACCGAAGCGATTGTGCTTCGTCTATGCTTCGTGTGCAAGCACACACACACACACTAACAGACACTCACACAAATGACAGTGAGAAACACATACACATACATATATACTTGTAGTCGAGTGCACTACACCATCAATTCCAATTCAAATCTCCCCTGACTGACTTGCTTTATAAATGGTTTTATATTTCCTTTTATGTCGTCGCTGAGCTATATACACTGCTCGAGCTCTCGAGCTGTGGATGTTTTGTGATGTACGAATACATATATTCCTCTGCCCTGCTCTGGCTCTGCCCTGGCTCTGCTTTCGCCCTGCTCAACTCAGTTGAGCTCATCTCATCTCCGCTGCGCTTGCTGGCCTGCCTGCTATTCTTTCCCTTATATCGATTGGCACTTTATCTTAATCGCCTTGAGACATCGTCCCTGTTCCGCGCCCTAAATCCTCCTCGCTCACCCTAAATAATGGTTGCCTACTGCTAAGGCTGATGTTGCTGCTGCTGCTGCTGCTGTTGCTGCGAGGCTGCCTTGGGGATTGGAACTTCGTGAAATTTCGTGCAACGTCATCATTATCATCATGAGATGGTTGCCTCGAGCCTCAGCTATAGCTACAGCTACGTCTCTTTCGGGTTGATTCTTTTGCCCATTGGGTTCCCTTTTGTTGCTACGTATCTTTTGTATCTCGGTATCGCTGTATCTCTGTATCTCTGTACCTTTTGTATATCCACATCCTATGCCCAGCTATTGCCCATTGTTTAACTAGTTCTTATATTCCGTCATACGTTTTACCTACTGCCCGCTTTGCCTTTTATGCTTCAAGTATTCGTAGCATTAACATTCTAAATTCAGTTCCAGTTCGAGCTAAGTTTTTTTTTTGATTTTTTTCTGCACTTTCAGATTTGTGAGCCTGTTTTTTTCAGGTAGATTTTAGATTGATTTTTGTCATGCTTAGGTAGATGTGTATATGTAGAGCTATTTGTGTCGTATGTATTACGCATATATATTCCACGTTAGTTCAAGGTGACATGGATTTGACCTTTGATATTTTGTGTGTAATCGTAAATTATATCAAGGAATATATTTAGTTAGTGGATTGAGGCTTGTCTCATATGTGTAACAAATAAAGCTAATGTAAAAGAAATTTTGAGAAGACAATAAGAATTGTTTTTTTAATGTTTTCAAACAATTTAAGAAACTGTGAAATAATTTGTTTGTAACTGTATGTCAAACAATGAGATGTTTTTCTTATCACAACACAACAAAAGTTTATTAGAGCTGGAATCTAGAGAGTTCTTCGTATAGCTCTATTTAAGACTGCATTCTTTCACTAAACTTTCCATTTGCTTATTTGCCCTGCACATGCACTCGAAACTAGTTTCTCTTATCAGCTGTAAGTTGCAACCGGTGTCAATGTCCTGTTATCAGTGATAAGGCCGCCCAAAACAAGCGCGAAAATCGAAAGCACAGAAAAAAGGCAGAAAAACCAAAACAAAAACACACTTTCGCAGTCAGCGTCGCTGCCGACGCGATGTCTAACGGAAAGCAAACAAAAACAAACACATTTTTAAATAGCGGACAACCACGGCAAACACTTGCTGCTGCCGCAGCTGGCGCCGCGTGTGGCATGCAAATGCCGATGCCGATGCCGCTGGCAGCGACGTCAACGGCGCCGCGCCGCTTTTTTAATTGCACACAAGCACAACAACAACAACAACAACAAGAACAGCAGCAATAACAATGACAGCAACCGTAGCAGCGGCCGGGCAGAGGCAGAATCTCAAGACCCCGTTTGTTTACATCGACGCGACACACATACTCACACTCACACACACACACACACACACAAGCACACAGACAAATTACACATTCGCACAGTGGTACTCACTTTAGGAGCGCGTGCCTTGTCGAACACAAACATTCGATTCTTGAATGAAACTCGCGCGATTATCGACTGCGTATATATAGTATATATATTTGAGTGTGTTCGGCATATAATAATCGGTGCGAGAAACTAAAGCCAAGCCGAAAATCAAATCAAATCAACAAACAAAAAAGTGGCTGGGCTAACTAACACACACACACAGAGACGCAAGAAGCGTTTTGGTCGCGCTGTGAGAACCGCTTCGGACGAACGTTCAGCACAAAGTGAAATATACGAAACTAGCGACAACATCGCCAAGCGACTCGACGACCGACCCGACCGACTCGTTTTTCCCATCTATAGGAAATATTTAATCCCAAACAAGCCAGGCCAAACCAAACCAAAACCAGCCAAGCCAAGCGATGGGCAAATGGTAGGGCAGGGCAGGCAGCGGCAGGGGTAAGGTATGCGGCAAGGACGGGCAGAATATCTCTAGACGTCGACGTCGACGTCGGCGTCAGGCGTGCAAAGCAAATACGTAGCAGCGGCAGAGACAACAACAGGGCGAACTGTCTGTCAGTCGCTCGCTCGGTCGGTCTGTCTCTCTGTCGGTCTGTTAGTCAGTCTGTCAGTCAGTCAGCCGGCAATGGCAAAAACCCGAAGTTCATCCGATGTTTGGGGTGCTTTTGCCGCTGCTGTTGGGCCCTTTGGTTGTGCCCCCAAACCACGGCGCTACGTTAAGACTTTTTATTCCTAGGGTGGATGGCGGGGGGGTGCTGGTGCTGGGACTGGGACTGGGACGGGGCTGCTGCTGGTCGTCTCGTTACCCGGGTTCGGGACTTTATGTGCGTCGTCTATAGCGATGATGGGATTTCAAAGGCGGAGAGACGTAACGCCCGCCAGACGAGTGTATAATTCTCTATTTTAATGATATAGGGTGTGTTTGTCTATATAAGCATATATATATAAGAGTCTCTCTGTGTGTGTGTGTGTTTTTATTTTGATAATATTCTTGCCTAATGCCTGGTATATGACCATCATAAATTTATTTTATGTTTGGATTTATACGTAGTATATGGGTATACACGCTTTTATAGGCATACTCGCATTGTTAGCCATTTTAGGATATTATTTATTATGCCTCGTGCTATACGCATCATCAATGTGGAATTTAAGCATCTGTAGAGTATACCTATGCGGAGGATTAACAACAGGACTTGCTTACTTAGCAATATGATCCTCAGACCTTAACCGATCTCAGGTAACTCGGCTGCTCGGCGCGTAATCCATTCATGGAAAGCTACATTCG